GAAGAGGAGAAAGAGGAAGATAAGGAAGGATGGAAGGAGGAAGGAAAGAAAAGATAGAAGGAAGGAAGGATAGGATGATGAGAGATAGGAGGTGGTTGTTGTAGGTTTTTTCGGGCTATATGGCCATGGTCTAGAGGCATTCTCTCCTGACGTTTCGCCTGCATCTATGGCAAGCATCCTCAGAGGTTCTTTCACATCAGAAGCATGCCATAGATGCAGGCGAAACGTCAGGAAAGAATGCCTCTAGAACATGGCCATATAGCCCAAAAAAACCTACAACAACCCAGTGATTCCGGCCATGAAAGCCTTCGACAATACAGAGAGAGAATAAATCCATAGATCCATAACTCCAAGTGATTGCTGATAGGGAAAGATTATATTTATGATCATAAGAGAATGAAATGAAATTGACACAAAATAGCTTCACATAATTAGCCATCCGCACAGGCGTATGTATTTTGACCTGAGAGGAAGAACAAGTCTGACCAGTAATGGAACCATCTGTCCTCCAAACAGCCAACTACTTCTCCTGCACTTCCTAGTATAAAGACATAGAGGATAGAGAAGGCATGGCCAAACTTCGACCTTCCAGGTGTTTTGGAGTTCAACTTCCACAATTTCTAACAGCTTCAGGCCCCTTGCTTTTCCTCCTCAGCCACTTAAGCGGCTGAGGGGGAAAAGCAAGAGGCCTGAGGTTGTTAGGAATTGTGGGAGTTGAACTCCAAAACACCTGGAGGGCTGAAGTTTGCCCATGCCTGGGATAGAGCATGATATCTATTGACATGAGACCAAACAGCAGCAATTGTATATGAAACAAAAGCTGGCAGAGCAATGCATTGGCCATTCTGATCTAGACTCATTCCTATTTGTATTTAAATCGAACTCATTAATCAAACTGGCTATCTGTATAACTGACTTAATGTTGTACAATTAATAATGCTGCTGTTAGTCATGGGACAGAGTGGTAAAACGTATTTCACATAGTAATGAATTCTCATCGGTAGTCCTTAGCATTTTTCTTCTGTTCCTCTGCTTATGGCTTATTTGCTTTCAAGCCTCTGCTTTATATTGATCTAGACTGAAATTGTTGAATAAGAAGTCATGCTTGATGTAAATCCCATTGATTTAATGCGTCTATTCTCTCTAGAGGTTAGGGTTCAAGTCTTGGCTTGGCCAGTGCTTTCTCTTGGGCAAGTTAGGCTATCTCTGCCTTGGAAAGGAGCAAAGTAAACCCTATCTAAGGCAGCGTTTCTCAACCTGGGGGTTGGGAGCTCTGGGGGGGGGGGTCACAAAGGGGTTTCAGAGGGATCGCCAAAGCCCATCAGAAAACACGTATTTCAGATGGTCTTAGGAACCCTTTTGGCAGAGAAGGCTGAAGATCTCTGCGCCTGTCCTTTTCCTTTCTGGAAACAGACGGTGAATCCTCCCACCAAAAGCCCTCCTCCTGCTGTGATTGGTTGGCCTCTCAACCAAGGGGTGGACTCCAAGTGGGGAGAGGAGAGCAGGTGTGCTTGGCGCATGGCACGCATGTGTGAGTGAGGGAGAGCATGAGAGGCTGGAGGGAGGCTCACACCAGTGAGTCCCTTCAAGGCATGGGGGTTCTGTGTAGGGGGTTTGGCCCAATTCTATCGTTGGTGGGGTTCAGAATGCTCTTTGATTGTAGGTGAACTATACACCCCAGCAACTACAACACCCAAATGTCACGGTCTATTTTCCCCAAACTCTACTAGTGTTCACATTTGGGCATATTGAGTATTTGTGCCAAGTTTGGTCCAGATCTGTCATTGTTTGAGTCCACAGTGCTCTTGGATGTAGGTGAAGTACAACTCCAAAACTCAAGGTCAATGTCCACCAAACCCTTACAATATTTACTGTTGGTCATGGGGGTTCTGTGTGCCAAATTTGGTTCAATAACATCTTTGGTGGAGTTCAGAATGCTCTCTGTACTGTAGGTGAACTATAAATCCCAGTGACTACAACTCCCAAATGACAAAATCAACCTCACCAGTATTCAAATTTGGGTGTATTGGGTATTTGTGCCAAATTTCATCCAGTGAATGAAAATACATCCTGCATCTCAGATATTTACATGACGATTCATAACAGTAGCAAAATTACAGTTATGAAGTACCAACGAAAATAATGTTATGCTTGGGGGTCACCACAACATGAGGAATTATATTAAAGAGTCGCAGAATTAGGAAGGTTGAAAAACACTGCTCTAAGAAAACCCATCTGATGGCTTTGCTTTAGAGTTGCAATACGCCAGAAAGGCACACAGCAACAACTAACTCTACTGGGGATGAGAAATTGTATTTGGTGCCAATTGCTAAAAAAGTATCATGCTTCTATGACTAAAAGAGTTGTGCGATAGTGTCTTCAGAACTAACAGCTGTGGTACTGCAGATATGAGTAAGTGTGCCAGGTCCTTGCTCTTGTCCTTGAGTTCTTAGACTGACATCCCACTGACAAAGGGTACTAGTCTTGACCTTCCTATTTGAACTCAGGCTGCTGGGGTAATTGTTTGGCATATCACTTCGACTCAGATTCCAATCTCTTGGCATGTACTACACCTCAGCTTTTGATTCAGTTCTCTGGCTGGCTGCCTACTGACTGTAACTTCGCAGTTCTCCTTCCTTGCTGTAGACTCCAGTCCTTTAAAGATCGGCTGGCCTCGTAGTTCTAAGATGGAAACACATCTCTTCCCTTTTGCTTCTACAGTCAGCCTTCCACATTTTTTTTAAAGTTATGGGCACAGGACTCTAGTTTCCCTAGAGTATAGGGGACATATGTCTCACAACAGTTACTTATTTGGACTATAATTTGCAGAATCCTTCAGCTTTTTGGAAGGGCAATGGTTCTCCTTCTGCACTGGGTCTTTCGCAGCTTTCATCGGTCACATCTTCCATGTAGGGATTGTCTTTGGGGCCTCAAGAAAGTAGTGGAAGTCCTGCTTGAAGACAGAGGGAGCCCAACTCCAGGGTCAGAGAGTGAGGCAGAGCCTCCCTCAAATACACAACAGCAACACAGGATGAAAGCATGAGTGAAGCTGTAGAGTAGTGTTTCTCAACCTTCCTAATGCCGCAAGCCCTCAATTCAGTTTCTCGTGTGGTGGTGCGGGGATGTGGCCGCAGAGTTTTTGGGCTTCCCCCACCATATGCGGCAACCGCAGATTCTCCAGTCTGGCTCGGAAGTTTCAGCACCCGGCGCATAAGACGACGCCCAGCATATAAGACAACCCCTGACTTTTGAGAAGATTTTCCTGGGTTAAAAAGCAGCCTTATACGCCAGAAAATGAAGTAATTAAGCAGGTCTATAGTGACAGCTAATTCTGATCAGACCAATTCTATTCAAACAGTACAAATGCAGTCCTTCAAACCTTTGTGCTTCAGCAAAAGTATGTTGGCTACTGGTGAAGTTCTCTTTCCAAAGTAAAGGATTTTATAAGAGATGTTCACTCTATTTCCATTTGCCTAAGGAAGGATCTGTACTTGAACATCATGGGGATAATGATGCCAGATGGCGGAGCACATCGCCAAAAATGTCACGCATTATACAGAACAAGTTGGATCTGAAGAAGGAACCCAAGTCACTAACATAGCTTTGCCATCATTTTACAGCCTCCTATAATGAAATACTGCCTCCTATAATGAAATACTGCATCTCTTGAAGGCAATACAGTCAGACCCACACATTTATGGAGGTATGGGATTTAGAACCCTGGGGAAAGTGGACAAAAATGTGGGTATTATATATTTAAAAAGCATGCTAGAGAATTATTTCCCACCAATCGCCATGACTCCTCACTTAGATTTTAAAACCATTTCCCTCTAATCCAGTGGTTCTCAATCTGTGGGTCCCCAGATGTTTTGGCCTTTAACTCCCAGAAGTTTATTTATTTATTTATTTATTTATTTATTTATTTATTTATAGTATTTATATTCTGCCCTTCTCACCCCTCAGGGGACTCAGGGCAGATTACAATGCACATATATATGACAAACATTCAATACCATTTAGACATACAACGTATATTGATAGACATAGAGGCATTTAACATTTCAGCAATTTAGGCTTCATGAGGGTATGCTCAATTCTGGCCACAGGGGGAGCTGCAACTTCCACCATCCACTTGCATCCTTTGATGGAGTACTTCCTCATTCTTCTGCATGCTGCTGGAAGGTTTGGTGGCATCATAAATTAGTTAAATTAGCCTCCCCGCATAAAGCGGTACCTAAATTTCCTACTTGACAGATGCAACTGTCTTTTGGGCTGCATAGGTCGACATCAAGCTTAGACTATGAATGATCAGGAGCTTACTCCAACCTGGGCTGGCTTTGAAATCACGAACTCTCAGGCAATAGTGATTTAATGCAGCTGGCTACTAACTAGCTGCGCCACAGTCCGTTCCTGGTAAACTGGCAGGTATTTCTGGGAGTTGTAGACCAAAACACTTGGGGACCCAGAGGTTGAGTACCACTGCTCTAATCCATCTCTTTGCCCCACTCTGCTGACCCTTTGCCCCTACATTACTATCTTCCCAACAGTCCCTCATCCCCTCCAGCGGCTTCCCACCACAAAGCCTTATTCAGACTTTTGATCAAGCATGGGCAAACTTGGGCCCTCCAGGTGTTTTGGACTTCAACTCCCACAATTCCTAACAGCCTACTGGCTGTTAGGAATTGTGGGAGTTGAAGTCCAAAACACCTGGAGGGCCCAAGTTTGCCCATGCCTTCTTTAGACCCTTCTCTTTCCAACTCTTCCACTAAGAAGTGATGAAGAATGGGATTTTAAATCTAGAGAAGGCTTTGTGGATAAGAAGGAGATGAGGTGTTGGCACTGTTGAGAAAAAAGTGATGGACAGGTGAAGGGTCAGCAGAAGAAGTGGGGCAAGAAAGTCCAGCTATACAAACTCATGAATAATTAAATCTGTGAAAGAGAAACCAACACATTTGTGAGCCTGACTGTAATGGCAATAAATAATGGTCACAACAGATGAGTCAAGTGTCTAGACTTCTCAGCATGCAGAGCAAAATGTAGGCGCATCTCTGAAAAGAAAAGAAAAAAACTACAGCTAATTGTGCAGCCTATGTGTAATTTGCTGAGAAGCAAAATCTCTTGAGCTCAGTGGGCTCACTCCCATTGAAGAGCAGAAAATGGAATGTTGGAGGACAGGAAAAGAGATTTAAATATGGGCTCAAAGCCAACCTTAAAAACTCTGGCATAGACACCAAGAATTGGGAAGCTCTGGCCCTTGAGGGCTCCAGCTGGAGGTCAGCTGTGACCAGCAATGCTACAGAATTTGAAGAGGCACGAATGGAGGGCGAAAGAGAGAAACGTGCCAAGAGGAAGGCGCATCAAGCCAACCCCGACCAGGACCGCCTTCCACCTGGAAACCAATGCCCTCACTGTGGGAGAACATGCAGGTCAAGAATAGGGCTCCACAGTCACCTACGTACCCACCGCCAGGACACTGAACTTGGAGGACAATCTTGCCTGGACAATGAGGGATCACCTAAGTAAGTACTCCCACTCGTATAGGGCTATGAAAGAACTGAGAAGACCATGGTTGAAAATTTCCCTTTGCCTTAATTCTGTTGGAAGCATGAGGTAAGATTTTCACCCTCCAACTCAGTGCCCTTTGCATGCCAGCGATATCGGCATAATAACAAAACATACCTATTTTATATTGTTACTGAAAGTGCTGCAAGAAGATAACCGATATTAAGCACCTAAAGCACAAGTGCTAATATACAGTGCTTTACTTACTGCTTTTGAGGTAGCACAGGGAGTGGACACTGGGGTTGGGAACTTGGCCACACTTTGTCCGGGAGGCAGACCGAGCCTCTGGCCAGTGTCCGGAGGAGAGGAAGGCGTGTAGATCCGTGTTTCTAGCCTTTCGGGTTCATGTTTGTAGGATTCCAGAGGAAATGTTGGCTGTTTGGTCACTTGCGTTGGGGTTGATGGAGAAGAGGAGAGGCCAGAGGCTGTAAATAAAACATATAAAAGATGTAACTCATCAAGCTTTGCTTCACTGTTGACAAACAGGCAAATAATGGCTAAAGCTGCAAAAAGTCTTTCAACTGCAAATTTCACTCTCCAGTTCTAATGCAAAATAAATAGATATTCTAATTGAGCTAAGTAAAGTGCAGTGCATGCTGTCCTTCATCACCTCCCCTGAGATATATCTCCAAAATGGCTCCAAATGCACTCTAGATAGGGCAGAAAAACAAGAGAGATGGCTTCTGTTTACTCCCTGTTGTTAAATAGGCACCACTCTTTGGCTCAAATTGGTGCAGAAAGGCCTTAAACTTGGTGAAACCGCCCTTGTACCCCACATAAAAGACAATTATGCTGGGGAAAGTGGAAGGCAAAAGGAAGAGGGGCCGACCAAGGGCAAGATGGATGGATGGCATCCTTGAAGTGACTGGACTGACCTTGAAGGAGCTGGGGGTGGTGACGGCCGACAGGGAGCTCTGGCGTGGGCTGGTCCATGAGGTCACGAAGAGTCGGAGACAACTGAACGAATGAACAACAACAACCCCACATAAAAACACCACCACCAACAACAACATTATTCTTGTATCCCACCACCATCTTCCCGAAGGGAATAAAACACAATATAAAATGCAATTGAATAAAACATATAAACATGTAAACAACAACAAACACTCATCCGTCAATGGTGGTAGCTAATGTAAACATGGCCAGGCTTTAAACAATAGGGCAAGGGAATGGGAATAAGTGCAGAGCTGTAACTATGGAACGAGGGCATGGGATAAAGTGCAAAACTACGTAACAAATTGGTAGATCAACTAGGCCAGTGTTTCTCAACCTTCCTAATGCCGCAACCCCTTTAATACAGTTCCTCATGTTGTGGTGACCCCCAACCATAAAATTATTTTTGTTGCTACTTCAGAACTGTAATTTTGCTACTGTTATGAACTGTCATGTAAATATCTGATATGCAGGATGTATTTTCATTCACTAGACCAAATTTGGCACAAATACCCAATATATCCAAACTGGTGGGGAGTGATTGATTTTGTCATTTGGGAGTTGTAGTTGCTGGGATTTATAGTTCACCTACAATCAAAGAGCATTCTGAACTCCACCAACAATGGAATTGAACCAATTTTGCACACAGAACTCCCATGACCAACAGAAAATACTGTCTGGAAGGATTTGGTGGGTATTGACTTGAGTTTTGGAGCTATGTTTTATCTACATCCAGAGATCACAGTGGACTCAAATGATAGATCTGGACCAAAGTTGGCACGAATACTCAATATGCCCAAATATGAACACTGGTGGATTTTGGGGAAAGTAGACCTTGACATTTGGGAGTCATAGTTGCTGGGAATTATAGTTCACCTACAATTCAAGAGCATTCTGAACCCCACCAATGCTAGAATTGGACCAGACTTCCCACACAGAACCCACATGACCAACAGAAAATACTGTGGTTTGTGATTATCTTTGGTGACCCATCTGACACCCCTTCATGACCCCCCAGGGATCCTGACTCCCAGGTTAAGAAATGCGGTGTTATCAAAAGCTTGTTTGAACAGCCATGTCTTCAGGTCCCTACGGAAGGAGGACAGTGTGAGGGTTTGCCTAATATCAACTAAATAAGACATGGGGAGATAGCTAGATGATAGATAGATAGATAGATAGATAGATAGATAGATAGATAGATAGGTCGGCAGGCAGGCAGGCAGGCAGAAGATGATATGGTGGAGAGGCGCACTCTACAGTTCCTCACTTGGGTTTCTAGTATTATATTACAGCAATGTGCTGTGCATCTTGATGGTCTTGAAGGTTACTTTGAAACATCAATGGTTTTCCATCACAGCAGTTTGACTACTGATTAAGATTTGCTGATTTGGACATACCTCAGTCTTATGAAAAGAATTTCACCAGCTTTTGTTATATTTCTGGCCATAAGTCTATGTGGAAAGAAGAGTAGATGGTTTGGCTTCATATTAGGCCAGTTGAAATTATTTCTTTTGAAAAGCAGTACCTAAAAAGCAGAAGGAGGGCATCCCATCCTACTAGGATAATCTGAGAGCCAGCTAGCTGCTCCCATATGTACTGACTTCCATATTATCACCTTGAGTTCCATATTAAAATAAAAATATGATAGAAAAAAATACACAAATTTATATATGATACTCCCTGAATCTATCTTCAAAGGTTGACTGGGAGAAGTGGAGCTACTGCTTTTCCTAAAGATTACTAGTTTAAGAATATCACACTTAAAGAAGGGATTGAATTAGTATTTGTATTACAAATCCTAAAACATATAGTTATTTTGTGCAGAAGTACACATGCTTTTTGCAAACCTTCATTGCTTTCAGAATCATTGTGCAAAAACCGTGGTTTGTGTGCAAAAAAAATCACTGCAATGTGCCAGAGTAGAGAAGATTTCACATATCACACCTGCCTATCAATTTGGATGGGAGATGTGGATAGTAAGCCTGCTAGACTGTGAAATAGAGTAATTCAAAGCATATTCCTAAAAGATAACGGATATGGGAAGATCTGGACCGCCAAATGATCTGAATTATGGTGCCCACAATTCCTTGTCCTTCATCTTAGTGGAGCTTTTCAGTATTGCATTCCAAAACATCAAGAAGGTCGAAAGGACCAAACCTCACTGTACCAAATGGATTTTTTTTCACATGGACAACACTTATATACAAGATTGCAGCCAACTTATTATCCATAATGTATAACATCCCTTTCCTCTGCAGTGTTTTATAGACAGACAAGTGTTTTCAGAGTGCTTGAGGTTTCATCAGATGCTTCAAATGAGGGAAAGTTACAAACCACTAAAAGGAGATATGAACCACAAGTCCATCTGATCTCTGGACAGGAGGGAGGTGTTTGTAATGAGAGTTAATGGACTTGGACGTCAACTGAACTGCATTGTGACAGCAATAGGCTGTGCCAAAATGGTAATCACCAGACACATAGGAGATAATCAGCAAGATAAGAAATGAAATACAAAAACAAGGGTGAGGGTGTTGATATTATTTGTAAACAATCATTAAATGTGTTGTCTTCAGAATATTAAATAATAATAATAATAATAATAATAATAATAATAATAATAATAATAATCTTTATTTGTACCTCGCCACCATCTTCCCAAAGGGACTTGGGGCAGCTCACAGAAGAACTCCAAGTGCCAAATGCAGACTACAATACATAAGTATAAATACAATGACATAACTATAATCATCAGAGCACAAAAATCTCATTAATAAAATTATTTAAAAATGAAAATTATAAAATTCCTAAAACGCAATGGAACTTGTTGGCTGGCTATCTGTTGTAACAATCAATGAAAGTGCAGGCCAGTGCTATCAATGATTCATCACATTGGCCATGGATTACTCAGGATCAAAGGCCTGTCTGAAGAGCCATGTTTTTAGACTCATCCGGAAGGGCAGAAGAGAAGGAGCTAATCTAATTTCCTTAGGGAGTGTATTCCAGAACCGGGGAGCCACCACCGAGAAGTTCCTCTCTCACATCCCCACCAACCGTGCTTGAGACAGTGATGGGACTGAAAGAAGGGCATCCCCAGCAGATCTTAATGCCCACACCGGTTCATAGAGGGAGATGCGGTCTCGAAGATAGGTTGGACCCAAAGTGTATAGGGTTTCACAACCTCTGAGGATGACTGCCATATATACCAGGCAAGACGTCAGGAGAGAATGCTTCTAGTACATGGCCATACAGTACGAAAAACCTACAACAACACAAGCGCAGCGCCGAGGAGCCTCGGTGGGTCCCAGATAGCCGGGCCGGTCGCCCCCCCCCCTAAGGGGAGCTGGCCCCGGTGCGGAGAGCCGCCCGTATCGGGAACGGAGCGTGGCCGGAAGGGGGCCGCCTCGCACCCGTAGCGCAACGCACGTTCACGGGGAACGTGCGTAGATGACCTGATTCTGGGTCAGGGTTTCATACGTAGCAGAGCAGCTCCCTCTCTGCGATCTATTGAAAGTCAGCCCTTGACCTTCAACAACCCACTTTATAGGGCTTTATAGGTAATCACTTGCACTTTGAATTGGGCCCGGAAACTTATTGGGAGGCAGTGGAGCTGTTTTAAAAGGGGGGGGGTGTTATGCTCCCCAAAGCTCACCCCAGTTAATAATCTGGCTGCTGTGCAACAACAGCACAGTGCAAACTCTGGTCTCATGTAAACTACATTCTATTTTCCCCTACTATACCCAATTAAGCATATGATCGGATTGGTAATCTAGGTGAACAAGAGGTGTGTTCAAAGCACATACACTCCATGCAGGAAGTCACAGACTTAACTCATAGCATCATGCGGAAAAAACTGCTTGAAATCCTGGATTGTTACTGCCAATCAGGACCAACAACACTGGGACTGGTCAGACCAAAGTAGCTTTCTATAGAGGGCAAAGTGTGATCCATAAATGATGTGTACCCCCAAGATGATTATTCCCAATTATGCCAGGATTGCTGGCTACCCAAAGCTGTTTCTGTGGCCCTTCCAGGACCTAAAATACTGGGGATTAAATTACAATTTTTGCACCCAAATAAGCTCAAGACACAAGTGCACAAGGCTGTTTCTCCTGGGTATAGATATCTTCCATACCTTGGAAGTGTTTGCATGCCATACTTATGCCAATATTTGAAATATATACAGTTATCCCATGTGCTACGGAAAGAGAAAGATCTGGATGCTCCCTTCCCTTGAGATCCTGTCTCCACCTTCCCCAGTTTTTGCATTTTTCTGTTAGCAATGAAAACAAAAGATCTGCAAGCAATGACTGAGAAATGATAAGTCACTTGTAGGAAAGCCAAGTCAAGCTGGGCCAGCTATTTCTTCATTAGGCTGACGCCTAGAAAAGAATACCACTCATTGAAACCCATCACTGTAAATTTCATGTGGTAACAGCTGAGTGCGGTTGCTTAATGGCTGTTAGGGCGCATACAAATCAGCAGGTGGAAA